TTTCCAAAACCGAACATCACTTCTACTCTTGCACAATTGCTCTCTACTATCTTTTGCAGTTTATCAGGGATGATCTTCATAGTTACAAAAGACATCCGCACGGATTAAGAGAGAAAGAGAATTCATTGGCATCTCGTTCACTTACTGCTAGAGTTGAGCATAAAAAATCGAAATGTTTTTTTGGTAAATGCTAATTAAATAAATCATATTTGATTTTGGTTTTTAGTTCTGTAAACTTATCATCGTTCGTGCACTTTTTTATTATTATGATTTTAATACCCAAATCAATTACCTCTTTAACTGAAACGTTCATGAACTGAACATATTTTCGTCTTTGCTTAGTTTTCTATTTAATTAGTTAAACAAAATCATATGGGTATCACATAAACGTTCTCATCTTACTTCATAGATCCTTTAATAATTCTGTAAATCTATGCTGTCAGCTAATAATTGTGCGTTTGCCATTGAGATGATAGGGCGAAGAGGTAGATTAACGTTTTATGTACCATTCGTGGACAGGACATAATAGCACAAAGTGTTCTTTACCCGTACAATCGATCATACATATCAACAATAAGAAATGGACATGATGCTATCTTTCTTCCACAGTGTTATATAAAAAAAGACCGGAAAACAACAAAAGAAATCAAACACTATGTATACGTCGTTGTTTTCTATTATTTGTTCTGCAGTTGAAGATACCTTGAGCAATGTGAGCTGAAAGTTTCTATTATGTGTACAGGAATATATTGCTAAATGTAAACCTATTATCAATTATTATATCATATTCTTTAATGCTATCATAACAAAAATAGCTAAAACTATCTAGTGATTGTATATGAAATGCATGAGTTAGTTTATTACAGTTTTGCTTGCTACATTTGAATAAACATTGACATACTCAATAACTATTTTTTATTACTCTTTTCAGGAAGTGATGGAAGACCGGGAGAGAGAGGAGGACCTGGTGGAAGAGGAGAGAGAGGGTAAATAATACAACAATAGCCGCTTTCTTATAACACTAATTTTATCAATTCTTATTTTATTCTTGTTTCAGGTTACCAGGAGAACCAGGGCTTCAAGGATTACAAGGTATATAGGTTTGCCTTAAAACGATTTATTTTAGAAAAAAAATTTCGTGCATAGATGATACTTAAATCTTACACTATAGTAAGCAAAAACTCAAGATCTATAATTTAAAAAAAATTTGTTTCAGGTGTACCTGGATTACCTGGACCAACGGGTCCTAAAGGAAGTACTGGTAAGCAAACGAATACTGTCCTAACTTTTTTGCTTCTATTCTATTTTTCATTGATGTAGGCGACGCTGGGCGAAATGGTGAAGATGGAAAACGTAAGTATTGTTTAACCGCTATGAAGATGTACGAAACTAAAATAATTATGTACGCAAAGTTGTTTGTCATTATATTTCATTGTCTTTGCTTTTCTATCAAGCGGGTTTACAAGGCATCAGTGGAAGTAGGGGAGGTCCTGGCAATCCCGGTCTACCAGTAAGTGATTTGTCATAGGGTTGTAACGACTCAAACTTGTATCATTTGTTTCCTGATATTTTTGTTAAATTGTTTTTAGGGTATTGCCGGTGCCGCTGGAAAAGTATGAACATTATTTTCAAATATTATTTTTTTTACTAGAGATAAACTATATATACTTTAGGATGGCGAAAGAGGCTCGACTGGCCCAATTGGATCACCAGGTTTTCCAGTAAGTATTTATTGATCTTGGATTATACACATAACATTTAATTTATATATGCGATATTCTTCATTGTTGTGAATATTTTATTTTTAGGGACCACCGGGTATAGCTGGGGCGATTGGACCTCCTGGGAAAAACGGAGAGCCAGGAAAAACAGGAGAGGTTTGTAAAAATGGGTCGTTTAACTCTTTGACTCTAGTTTATAATTTTCAATTTCTAGGTGGGCAGTCCTGGACTTCCAGGACTTCCAGGTCAACGTGGAGTTCCAGTAAGTTTGACTACATTGTTTTTTTACAAAGCTTACTCAAAATTACTTATCCATCTTGTAGGGTGAAAGAGGACTTCAAGGTAATGGTTCTGTTCATTGTTATATCGAAATAGTCGGTTTATTTTGAAAGTATTTTTCGTTCTGCAGTAGAACTAGCACAAATATGTGTATGTACATTAGAAGAGATGTTGCTGCTACCGACATTCTTCTCTTGAAGAAACGGTAACTTCTTACGGGCAGCATTTTTACTGTTGCGGGTTCCATTTAGGCTTTCCGGGTCAGCAGGGAGCAAGAGGACCTGTCGGCATCGCTGGCAAAGATGGAGAAAACGGATTGATGGGCATAAAAGGAGAACGTGGAAGCGCTGGACTTCCAGGTAAGAAGAATTTTCTTACTTCCTCTATAGAAATTTGAGGAAAATTGATCGCATTTTTTCATTTTAGGCATGACTGGTATTCCTGGAGCAAGGTATTTCCACTCCATGATTGTTCGTTTATTGCACAATGCATACATTTTGTTGGTCTTTTTAGAGGAAGCGATGGCAAACCGGGAAATGATGGTGAACAAGGTCCACCAGGACCTCCAGGTAGGCAACAATTTGTCCTTTTATGATAGATAGTCATTATTTGCTCCTCACTCTGCTTTTATATGATTTTTGCCCGTCTCGTTCGTTGAAAAATTACCGTAGAATTATTTGATCCAAATATAGTCTGCATGCCTCGTTTTACTATTCCGTACTATACTCATATTTTCTAATGGGGTGGTTGTCGTATCTGAGGAGAATTGAAGATAATGTATTGATTTCTGCGAATGACGGCTTTATGTTCTAGGTACACCTGGAAGAGCTGGGCGGGATGGAAAAGATGGAGCTCCTGGTCTCCCAGGCCAAACAGCATTGGCTAGCACTGGAACAGGGATAAAAGGTAATTTTCTATTGACCAATCTTGCATAAAAGCAGAAAAGACATATTGTCCAAGTGAAAACGTTTGAATAAAAATGAAAAATCAGGAAACTACTCTATCTCCAACAGTTTTCGCGAAAGTACCGTAATATTATAGTTAAATAAGTATGAAGTCAGATTCTTCTCATTCATTTAATGATTAATCTTCGAACCCTACTTTTTAGGTGCACAAGGTCCGCCTGGGTTACCAGGAATTCCAGGGGCAGCCGGTACACCCGGTGGAAAAGGAGACAAAGGTGACAGAGGTGAAACAGGCGTTATTGGAGCACCCGTAAGTGATTTTGAGTTAGCAAACTTCTCGTTGATGAGATAATAGCTGCACGAGAATAAAATCAGTAGGATTCAATACGTATTTGGTAAACGAATCTCGAAAGTTAGAGTTAATCTTTTATTTACTATGAGTTATTAATTTATTAATTGTAATTCCATACCATACTGGTTTTCTTAATTCAGCAAGGTTACACATCAGAAAACTGAACTTTTGGCTTACTGATACTCTTGTTGTGATACTATTACATCAAGAAGATGGAATAATGATTACATCTGACTTATCATCTTTATAGGGACCGAGTGGTGATGTTGGTAAACCAGGTCTCCGCGGTGAAAAAGGAGAAGAAGGTTCAGATGGTGCGATCGGACCTCCCGGTGAATCAGGACCAGGTTCGTCAGTTATTTGTTTTTTTGAGTAACCTTTCTAATGTCAATGAATTTTTATAACGAATTTGCAGAGTTTTTTGAGAATTTATTTTAACATGAGAATACAAAAACTGAACATTTTTAGGAAAAATTAGTAGATACTGTTGACTAATTTGTCAGTCTAATTGATTCTATTTTGTTTTCAAGTGGGCAGCAGCGGACCACCAGGACCAAGGTAAGAAAATATTTAGTTTTTCTTGAGCGTTGCCATTTATATTTTTTCTGCTTTAGCGGAAGTAAAGGCGATAGTGGGGCACAGGGAGCCCCTGGAGCCCCTGGACCCCCTGGTTCTGCGGGTCTTCCTGGAATCCAGGGCATGCAAGGACCAAGTGGACCATCAGGAATTCAAGTAAGTAGAAGGACTTCGCTTTAAAGTTTTATGTACGAAAACATCTTGTGTTCTTCTAGGGTCCAATGGGCAAGGAAGGACCAGTGGTTAGTATTTTTGGTGTTTTCGCTTTGTGAAAATTTTCTATATTACAGAGCGTTTTTCTTACGTCTTTCCTTTCTCATTTAGGGACAAAGTGGACCGATTGGTGAACCCGGAACAAAAGGAGACGCAGGACCAGCTGGACTGAACGTAAGAAAAGATATGAATACATTATTTTTAATATACTTTGTAATTAATCTGCAAAATTCCGTTTTAGGGTGAACCGGGCGAAAAAGGTAACACATTACATTATATACTTTGACGATGGTAACTCCTATTCCCAGACATTCGTAACCGGACACAGAATGAATAATAAATCATGTCAAATAATTCAATCAGCTCTATAACTTCTTCATCTATGAAAGCGAATAATTTTGTATAAGTTGAAAATACGAGCACTTAGAACTTGGTACACTGTTTGTTGATCATTTTGTGGTATATTTTTGTTTAGGCCAAAGCGGAGATCATGGACCTCCAGGCCCTCCTGTACGTATAATTGTGATGTAAATTATTCGATTTTTGATTAGTTTCCCAGGTCAACAGGTCCTAGTAGATTGTTATGTGGCTCCCTTAGGACTCTAGGACAGGATAAATTGCAGCATTCTCGTAATATGTACGTGGGGCATTTTTTTCCTACGCACTTCGCTATTTACTCATTTGTTTCCAAGTAATACTTCTGTAACATCTTAGGCAGAAATTTTTTACCTTAAAATGAAGAGATGCGCTAATTTCGAGAAAACTGTTCTCCAAACTTTTTCAAATAATCAGTTTCGAATTAGGTAATTTCGATTTTCCTCCATTAGGGTCCACAAGGTGGTGTCGGTCCTCAAGGAGAAAGGTAAATCAATGATGAATCAGAATTTGAAGAGAATCAACAGTACTTTATTTTTTAGAGGGTTGTCCGGTTTGGCAGGTTTACCTGGACCACCAGGACCTCTTGGGTAAGTCTCTTTGTGTTCTCGTTTTTTTAACATTAATTTACCAGAATCGGAGTTAATTTACGAAACAAAAGTCTACTTATTGAACATGTAGCCACTTAGTTTGTATCCTATTCATAAAGTTAAAACAAAATACCACTAACCGCATTATATTGTACACTTGTACACTTTAGTTCATCTATTCCTTTTCTTTTTCAGCCAACGTGGTGAAATAGGATTGCCAGGGTAAAAGAACGATGTTTTTGATGCGAACCATAACTCCATTCGAGTTTCCACTTTTATTAGTCTGCCAGGTAAAGCTGGTGAAGCCGGTGAAATTGGTTTAACTGGATCTACCGGTCCACCGGGAACTCCTGGAGATCATGGCGAGGTGAGTATGCATTTAGTTTTGATTTTTTGGTACGTGTTTTTTATTTTGGTTTTTTCTATTTTTTTAATTTGTTCCATTTTAGCCCGGTCCCATGGGTAGTGATGGACCACCAGGACCTCCAGGCCAAATTGTAAGTTTAATGTGGCTTTCATACTGTTGAAAATACAAGTTTTCTGGCATATTGGTTATGCATATTTTGCTTAGAAGGGCATGAAAACTTTCATTGTGTACACACACGTATGTCGTTTGCTAATCTGAACTTTTTTTCTTCATTCAAGGGTTCTCCTGGTCCTAGTAAGTTATTAATTATGTCAGCTTATTGTGATAGTATTTATTTTCTTTCTATACTAATTTCTCATTAACGTTTGCTATTTGGCATATTCTAGCTGGTACAAATGGTCAACCGGGTTCTCCCGGATCAATGGGACCGCAAGGACCTTGTAAGTAGCGAACAATTATTTTCGAAATAATCAAAATCAAAATTACAGCTCAAGGGCGATAATTTTGAAGTCAACGTTCAAGATTCTGTAATTGAACTTTGAAAATAGACTCATATCTTATATTAATAAAAAACTGTTAGTACTAAGTATAAGGCGGGTACAACAGGGATCCGTATTATATATATATATATATTAGAGTTTAATAGCAGTTTATCATAGAAACAGAAATTTTGCATAGTAAGAATATGTTCTTATCATTTTCGATGTGGATAGTTTTGGAAAATCATATTTAGATTGTGTGACAGCATATTATAAAAATTTATTTAATCTTTTTTTTAGCTGGTCCGCCCGGTCCTCTAGGAAATCCTGGTGAACAGGGACCTCCAGTACGTTTAGCACATTCCAGGCATTCTTTTTTGTGATGTCTTCTAGGATTGTTTGTTTCTTTTCAGGGCTCTCAAGGAAAAGACGGACGAGATGGTAATGCAGGACCTATAGGGGCCAAAGGAGACAGAGGAGAAACAGGCTTACAAGGCATGAATGGAAGAGATGGGAAGGACGGAGAAAAGGTATTTATTAATTTTACTATAATAATTAATTTGCAATAGCGTGTTCACAGGTAATAATCTAGTTAGTACTTCAGAGTTCATAATAGCAAGTTTTACCGATTTTTACACAATTCGATGACTATTTTTATTGACTTTTCTTCTTTCAGGGACGATCTGGTGATAAAGGCTGGCCAGGATCACCCGGATTGCCTGGAAAACCAGGTTAGTATGATAGGAACTAAATGAACTTTGAAATTTCAAAATCTTTACGATTTGTTCATTCTTTACTTGCGGCTAAAGTAGAGTATGAAAGTTATGTTCCACGCGAAAGATATATCATATGTCTTGCATTTTCTTGCAGTATATATGTCTTCCAGACGATGAATTAGTGATTGCGATAATTTGTTTCTATGTAACTTATAAATTCGAAGACACACTAAGACTTTCTGGTTTTCATTATTTATTCTCTTTTGTTTTTTAGGTCCACCAGGTATTCAAGGTGACCAAGGTATAACTCGTAATCTCATTTTTCATACTGATTTTACTTCATATTTTTTATGTAGGTCCACCTGGTCAAAATGGAGCGCCCGGACAAAACGGACCTCAAGGAATTCGTGGTGAAAGAGGAAGCACTGGACCGGTAAGTTTTCATTATTCTTTTTCTGCCCATTTCAAAATAATCTTCATCCAATTGATATACAACATGAAATAAACTAGAATATCCGTCTACACAACTTACTAGAACTTAAAGAATTTTTATGTTAAAACTGTAAAATATTTCATATGAAGTTTTCCAATAGAAACATTTTTAACTGCTTCGATCAACAAAGAAGAACTGATGCATAAACTTTGTCAAAATTTATCCGTTCCTTCATTGATCTTGACTAATAAATTAGATTTCTAATTTCTGTTTCTTTGAACTGTCGGCTTTCTTCTTATGTTCAGCTTGGACCACAAGGTCCTTCGGGAGTGCCAGGAAAAGACGGTTATCCAGGTCAATCGGGAAGTCAAGGTCCCCCTGGACCTCCGGGTCCGCCAGGTAACGTTATTTTTTTTTTCTACGACCAACATAGTTTATAAGCATTTCTTATTAAAATTCAAAACAGGTGAAGCCGGAAGTGGTGGTGGATTTGATCCAGGTTTAATCGCAGCCATGTTTTCGTCATCAGGCATGGTAAAAGGTCCTGTTTATCCGCCGTTTCTGCCAGCACCGCTAACCCCCGAAACACTAGGATCCCGACCATCAGCAGATGATCCTGAAGTAACATCTAAATTGGAAAGAATGCAAACATTGTTTCAAACAATCTCGGATAAACTCAAAGAAGTAAAAAAAGTATTGGGTACAAAAGAAAGTCCAGCTCGAACATGTCGTCAACTGGCTGAAATGTATCCAGAATATAAAAGTGGCAATTATTATATCGATCCAAACGATGGTTCAATATTCGATGCTATATTAGTTTATTGCAATATACAAAAAAAAGAGAGTTGTTTATTAAATGCAGGAAAACCAGATAAACGTTCATGGACAACGCATCCATTAACCGAACACAAATGGTTTTATGAAGACATTTCAAATAGTAGTGTAAGTTTATTATCAGATCTATTTTTTTAAATATCTACTTTAATACGTTAAATTTCTCATGTTTAAATAATTTTTTTTAGATTGATTTTAAAGTTGATAAAGCTCAAATATCATTTTTACAATTACAAAGTACAATGGTTCATCAAACAGTAACATACCATTGTCGTAATTCGATTGCTTACATGTCATCTGATAATAGTTATGAAAATGCTGTAAAATTATTGACATGGAACGATCAAGTACTTCATCCAAATGCCGAGTATCCACATTTACGTTATAAAGTTATTCGCGATGATTGTAAAGTAAGTCATATCATTTATATCTAGAAGAATATTTTAAAATCTCACTTTTGTCTATTTTTCTTTCAGTTTCGAAAAAATTCTTGGTCAACAAGTGTATTTGAATATTCAACACGTATAACACAAAGACTCCCATTTTTAGATATTGCTATCCGTGATATTGGTTCTCGTAATCAAGAAATTGGCGTTGAAATTGGCCAAGTTTGTTTTTCATAAAAAGAACAAACAAAAACTAAGAAGAATATACAAAATCACAAAAATATAACATTATTTATCATACATCTTTATAAAAATATTTGTGCGCGCACATTTAAAACAACAAGTCTGATATGATCCATTATCTCACTCATCATTCAATGGAATTGAAAAAACTTTTCAATAATCAACATATTCATCATTTTTTAATTTATATTAATATTTTAACTTATTTTCATTTTATTTCGGTTTTTTCTTTTAAAATAATTTTATATTTGTTTGTCCGGTTTCGTCCTGTCTACGTATTTGTCGTTTTTTTTTCTTTTAATTTCATTTTTTTCTTCAACTGACGTAAAACAAAATAAAAAAAAATATTTATATATACTATTCTTAGGACAATTCAATGATATATGTTATAGGAATGATATAGAATGATGTTAAAAGTATAAGACATTTTGATCATAATGTAACAATTGACAAATGAATTTGAACAAACACTCATTTATGTAGATGATGTTATTTTCATGAAACTTCATAATCTGCCACTGGCGAGATCGAGGTGAACGTTGAGTATCTCTGTTGCCTTTTTTTTCCCTATCTATTCTTACTCATTTTGTTTTTTTCCATATAATAAATCAGTATAAGACATTGATAATGGCTCCTAGTCACGAACGATTTCTCATGATGTTTTATCTCAATTAACCATAGATTTTTGTATTTAAAAAATATATATGTTTTCTTTCTCTCTCTCTCTCTATATATATATATAAAAAAAAAACAAGGAAAAAGAAAATTGCATAGTTTTTTTTTTTTTTGTAAAAATGTCTATGTTATATACACAAAAGGTTCCGAATTATTTGTTTATTACGGAAGTAAACTTTCTAATAAATTTAGGCTAAAAGACGAGATGACGAGATGATAAGAACAACTACAAAAATATATTTTCAAGAAATATAATTTTCAATATTATTTATCATCTATGTTTCCGGTTGCGCTAAGATGATAGATAGATAGATAGATAATAGAACAATTGAATTATTCGTTGCTATTAGTTTTGTTCAATAAGCTTTCAAGGAGAAAAATATCTATTTTTTTCTTCTTCTTCTTCTTCTTTCTTTTAAATGGAGATATAACAACAACATCAGCATATTTCTTCTTGAATATCATTACTATTCAATGATTAATAATGATTTTTTTTATTACTCGAACAACTAAGCGAGAGAAAAAGAGACATTATCATCTCATTTTTATTTATTGATTCTTAGAATTGACAAGTAAGTGATGTTCCATATGAATTAATTTTTAAGTCGAATTTTGACTATTTAATTCGTTGAGAGTTAGATCTAAATTAAAAAAGAGATATTTCAACAAATTGATTAAAAATTCTAGCATGATAGGATTTTAAAATATCAAAATAGAATGTTATATACTTTTATAGATTGCATGAGTGAATATAATTACAAGATATTGGAATAGTTTACCTAATTTGGATACTTCTTCATTAGAATAATTATATTAAAATACATCTCTCATGATAACTCTTCCATCATTCAAATTAAACATCATTTTTTTTTCTCCTCTTTTTCCAGTTCTAGGTGAAGTATAAATTATTTAGTAATGTCTACGATATCGAAATTATTTTAATAATAAAAATACATGATAAAATATCGAATGATGTATAAGATAGTATTTTTATGAGAAACTTACTAAAGTCTTACTGAGATCTCACTAAAATTTTTCTAAGATTTCACTGAAATTTGTCTAAAATCTTAGACAAATGCTAAGATTCTGAAATCTGAATATTTTAAGATATAATAAGATTTTACTAGCATATAAATCGTTTTGTCTAAGATTCTTCTTCTAAGATTGAGTAAAAAATCTGTTAGGATGTTACTATATAAGAGCTAATACAAATTTTTTAATAAGATTCATTCATAAGTCAATAAAAAGTTTTGACTATCTTGTCTAACTGATGTTAAATTTCTTTTACATAATGAATTTCACGTTTGAGTCTACAATTCTACAGTGTTAAAGCTCGCGTAGAACAGACTAAAAAGAATTTTCTTATTGATGGATCACAAGATTTTAGAGAAAGATAATTTAAGAATTCTTGCCTGGGACAGTCAGCATCTACGTGCAATTCATAAAAAAATTTCTTTAACATACGAAAACAATCATATTAACGTGACGAAACAAATAAAGTTCATGCAAAGTTGCGAAAAAGTACTTTATCATCTTCAACACATTCCATAGCCCAGAAGATTTTTCCTATTTTTGCCAAAGCATATTGTCAAAAGTTTAAGAAAATTTTTCAAACTGATATTATTTTTTGATGAAATTTCATTTCTCGTTTTGTTTGAAAAATTTTCTTAAACTTTTGACAATATGCCTCGGCAAAAATAGGATAAATCTTTTGGATTATGGAGTGTGCTGAAGATGATAAAGCACTTTTTCGCGACTCTAAATGAACTCTATTTTTCTGTCAGCGACATGTGTATTCACACTGAAACACTTTTCTTTCTTATATAAGAGCAATAGAATTAAATAGCGAGACTTGTTTGAAGAATATTAACGATGATTGAGTTCGTTTTTGTCGCTAGAGAATACTTTTGACAAATTGATCTTACGAGGTGCTTTCTTCTTGTCACATGAGTGTGTGTGACATTGACGCATTTTTTATGTTGAAATACAGAACAAAATTCACATACTGCTAGAATTTCATTACTAAAACGATTCTATATCCATTAATAAAAAAAAGTTATTTTTTTTTTATACTTGTTTGTTAAAAAATGATAGAAAAAATTATATAAATATTCTTAGAAAAAGTGTAATGATTAGATTATTTTCTACCTCTTTTCTCGAAATGATAACCTTTTATTTCCCAATATTTTTTTTTCAATAGTTTATTTTTCTTGTAGCAATAGTAAATATCTAATTATTTATGTACAAAATGATTTTTTTGATCGGTATGAGATATATCAACCGCTGGGTTGTCTCTCAATATTTCTGACATTAATCAGAGCATACTTCATAAGGCAAACAAACAAAGTGGTGTGATTCTCATAGGTTTTATAATTCTATATAAGAATGTTTTCTATGTTCGCTATTTGTTTATTTTTACAGAAGTCAATGAATGAAGTAGAGATTAAATAAATTGTCGTAATGAGAAACGATCCACATTACATGTGAGTTTATCGATTAAAAGTATGTTTTTCACCTAAAAACGGTTATATAATAAAATCATTTTCAATTAGTTAATAGAGTTTTTTTTTTTTATTCTTTTTATCTAAAAGAATAATTTCACCATCGAGTATTGATCACAATGTTTACTAAAAAAATGATGCCAATACAAACATGTACGTATTTAACATATCAACAATATTATTAACTATATATCTGCTTCTATTTAGATATTCAGATGACTGTTATATTGTTAAAAATTGAACAAGCTCTATTTCTGGCATGTTATCAATGTTCAATGAAATATTCGAATGAAGAATGTAATAATAACAATTCAACGTACAGTACAGAATGTCAACCCACATTTGATACTTGTATGACAATTGTACTTAAACCGGGTAAGTTTAATAGTCTGAGAAAAATGATTGTTAGAATAAAAATTTGTTAAAATTTTTTTCTAAAAAGATCATCTTTGCAAGATAGTAGATAGTCATAGTAGACTGAAATAAAATAAAATAAAAATAGTGGAATATTTATTATTCAAGAGATGCAAAAAAAAAATAACTTTCATCATCAACAATATTTTGATTCTTAATAAGCTTTTTGATCGTTCAAATTATAAAAATCTTAAAACTAATATTTCTTTCTTTTCGTTTTATTTTTAGCTCTATTAAATCAATTATTAATAACAAAATATTGTACAAAACGGGAAGCATGTGATAGACAAAAAAATTATACAGAAACTCTCACACAATGTCATCCAAATGAAGAACGTAGCTGGGGTTGTGTATCATGTTGCTACGAAAAGGATATGTGTAATTTTGATATGGCAAATAAATTATACAATTCAAATCATCAATTTATATTGACTTTATTTTGTTTTTTAGTTATGTTTATGTCATTTAGATATAAATAAATTTCACGTTTCATCGAATTAGAACTTCCCATCAATTGTGATTAAAAATTTTCGAAAAATTATATGATTGAAATAGAAAATCTGATCTATAATCAGTCATTTAAAGTTTTAAACAACTATTTTACTATTGATTTTAAATTTGACTTGCAGCAATTTAAAACAAGAAGTATTTTTGAGCAAGGAAGATAATTGGAGAAGCAAAGTGGATAAGAATGAATGACAAAACGTCAGACTATTTTATCCTGATATATCTCAAATGGAGGACAAATAGAGAATACTGAACTATTAATACTGTATGTTTCTTGTCCTATTAATAATTACGACTATTATTTTCTAGTAGAAGAAAGAGAAAAAAAAAATTGTATCACCATAGGGCGGATGCTAGAACTGTACAAATTCTTCTTTAGAGAAAAGGAGGAGCCTCTCAACTATCGGCTTGCAAAATTTACTGTGTCTTTATTAAACACAATTTACTAAATAAATAATACGATACATTCTATTATTATTTTACACTGAAGAGAAAAAAAGAGATAGTAAGCATAATTTTTCCATAGTGAAAAATAAATAGCATAATCTTTTCTATGAGATTGTCTAATATATTGCTTTCATGGTTGAGAGATAATAAAGATAGTATTCCTTTGGAAAAATTACATCATCTATAGAAACATATAATTATGCATTATGTATATACCTGAATACGAAACACTATTTAACTTCAATGTGTTCCATCCATTGAGATTGTATTAGATTCACGAACTACGTCTTTACCTGGAAAATCTTGCTAGAGAAAAATAACAAATCTATAGTTAAATTTCTAAACGGTCTATAATTGCTCACGTTCATAGCCAAAAAAGTGTGGTAATACTAAGTGTTTAACTTATCTCGATTTGCGATGTTTATGTCCAATTCATAATGACAAGCAAAAGATAATTTGATAGAAATGCTGTCTTTTTGACGTTCAATGCGAAATTTTATGCAGTCATGTGAGAGAAGGCATCGGTGATTAGTGTAGATTCTATTTTTCTCATTTAGAACGATAAACACATATTTTATTCATCTTTGCGTTTGAATTTATTTTAAAATTTTACATATGGCTGAGCTTTCTATATTCAACTGGCTAGTAGAATTTGTTAAAATGAGATCTTGATATGGCAGATGGTGTTATGTTCTATGTGACATTATGTCTGTTCATCTCTACCAGTTCCATTACCGCCTTACTAACTGCAAAAACTGGTGAGTTATTTCAAGTGTGATGCAAACTGCAACTGGGTTACATTTTACCCTTTTAGTTCAACAACCACGTATTAGTCGTAAGTATACTGCCAAACATTTGAGGAGCTCTCCAATCCGAATGTGTTTTTCCAGATCAGCTAGATAATGACTTTGATGGACCCGAGAAAGGCTGCGCCAATGAAGATGGCAAATGTAAGTCACACGTTCACACTTACAAACATACGGATCTAATATAAAATCTTATTATAGTGGTTGCCGTTGGACAAAAAATTGTTCCACAAACAAATGTCTGTTCTATATGCACATGTGCAACATTTAGTCAGATCAGTACGCCTGAATTCGTATGTATTGATCAATGTGATTATTTAAGAAGTGCGCAAAATTGTACAGATGAAGAGTTGGTGGACTACAACGATACTAATTGCCAATGCCAAGTATGCAGAGGCAAAACAGGTATTTGTCTTGTTCATTTGTGAAACTCTAGAACGACTGGATAACAAACATTTTCTTGTTACACTAATACATTTACTTTAAAGCATACTGGAACAAATATTTGGGCGAAATAAAACCTGATGTGTTGCCTTCATCGACAGAAATACTGATTACGAACACACCCGATTCATTCGACGAAACTTCATTGGCGGAGTTAGATCCAGACGATGATGGTGATAATAACTACATTGCAAAAAAATTAGTGTGCCCGATGCACGAAAAAATAACGCCTGTTTGTCTCTCAGTGGCCGTTTAGAATGAATGGGCTCAGTATAAAGAAAACCCAAGATGTGTGGCGAGCACATTATTATTGAACATACACTGACGCCAAATCTAGCCTGATAACCTAATAACTTTTCCTGGCAATCGTGATAAATGAGAATACGGTAGTTCTTGCGTTCGAACCTCACTTTTTGAAATCTTGTTTTACTATTTTTCGCTTATTTACGCTGCGAACGACGTTATAGATGTCTCTTAAGATACTGATTCCACTTCTGGTATTAGTTTTTCTTTTCTACTATCCGAAAGCAAATTTTGACTGAAGCTGACATCATAAGTCATTGGTAAAGATGTTTTGTGGGTTTTCTTATGCAAATGCTTTTCTAACAGCTGTTCAGAATATTTTTGAAGAAGCAGTCACGAAGAATGCGGATTTCTTGACACTTACGGTTAAAAGGTGTCGAAAATCTGCTGGAATACATTTATCTACCAGGGAAGCGGAAAAACAACAGAGGAGTGTGAGTTGGTTAAATGCTTGCACCCAGCAAAAGCTTAGTAAACACTAAACAGTAAAATATTCAATGTTCTTTTGAAAAGGAACATGCAAAGTTAAAGTACATAAACAATCGAAGAGCTGATTTAAGTGAAATGACAGATATGTTGTTGAAACCCGTCTATAAATGCAATTCAACAATGCATTTTGTTATATTTTGTTAATCTCATTGAAAGGAAATCAAACAGAAAGATAGCAGCCAGTTACTGATTAAGCTTTATTTCTGAGAAGTCCTACACTGTAATCTTGAACTAATTTTCTACTTTATAGAAAATCGACCGAAAAATCGCCGGGGATTTTGTAGTTTATAGAAATTCCTCGACGAATTTCCAGCTTTCTAGGAAATGTTGATTTTCTACTTTATAGAAAATCGACTTGATTTTCTATAAATTCGATTTTCTATAAAAGTGGAGAATCGCCGAAGATTTTCTATAAACTGGAGAATCGCGGGCGATTTTCTAGTTTATAGAAAATCAACCGAATTTCTATAAATAATTTCCAAGAATCTGGAAATTTGATTTTGATTTTCTATAAACTAGAAATCATTGACGATTTTCTAGAAAGTGAAAATTCGGCCAGAAAGTTCTAAACTAAATACTTATTCATCTTTTTGTTTTGCAATCAGTATAGGTATAAGAGCGTCACGTAAAGATACTCATATTACACTTAAATCAACTTTGACAGTTTCTACTTTAGATCACAATTCTGCCTATGCCAGCAAGAATTTTGATTTAGGCAGAGATAGTGGTGGCGCGAAGTTTCACTAGGAAGGTCCGAAAATCGGAGACGGTCACCAGAAATTTCTCCAAAGCATGAGCGGGGTCAACCCCCATACAACCTGGTCACGCCGCTACTCGGTGCAGACCTGCCATTGAATTTCCAGTTTATAGAAAATCAAAAAGGAGTTTTTACTTTCTTGAAAATTATTTATGGAAATTCAATGGTGGTTTTCTAACAAACTGGAAAATCAACGCGGATTTTCTAGATTGTTGGAAGAAGAATTAGAGCAATTAGATTCTTCAGCACTTAGACTTGCACCAGCTTAGATACTGTAACACACTGTTTGTCCTCGAAAGACCACATTTGCGACTTCCACATCTACGGGCACACTTTTTTGTACAGTGTACTCTAACACGTGACCTACTGCTAAGACCGAATTACCTTTAACGACTAAATCTATTCAATTAGCAACAACAAAAACAACAATAACAACAACAACAACAACAACAACAACAACAACAACGTCAGCCAAGTCTATTAAGAGTACGACTGTTACAGTTAGTAGTACGACTGTTACAATTAGTAGTACGTCCAGACAGCCTAAGAGAATTACCACAAAATTAGCAACATTATCACCAGTTGACGTTGGATACACAAATACATCAAAAAGGGGAAAAACTGTCCTTTGGATTCAAGGTCCTAAAGGCCCACCAGGCGCAGATGGATTACCTGGTAGTCCAGGAGCTTTCGGTGTGGTCGGTTTAGTTGAAGATTTTAATATTCCAGTAAGTACGTTTTTGAATTTTATTTTGTATGACAATAATTAAAATATCAAACCGTCAGCACTGGCGATGATATGGAGATTTTTGAAAATTGCAGTCTCCATGGTATACCATGGTAGATGCAGGACTGTCAATCCTGGGGGCTGCAAATTTCCATAATTGAAATGTTTTCATTTTTTGACCACTTAGACTGAAAAAAAACCATTTCATACTAAAAATAAAGAAAAAGATTGAAATAAGACGACACACCTAAAATCATTTCGTCATTTTTCTTGTTTTTGATGTGATAGTATGGTGAATAAAACAGTAGTTAGTGTTTCTTTACAATTCTTTTAATACTTTACTTCGTATTAATTCTGTTGCGTGCGTTTTTTTTGAATTTAATACTACCTCTGCGAGAATTTTTTACATCCTCCTAACATTGAGATCCCACTGACGGCTCCGAGTAGACCTCGAGGCTGACATCTTTATCAAGCAATAATCTGCAGTTAATGAATTCATAAATCACTCATTCGTTTGATTTTCGTCATTCAAAATATCATTTTTTCTTAATTTAGGGTGGCAATTTTGTAGAAATGCAACGAGTTGAAGATATTCGAAACATTATTCAACGACAGTTGCTTAGTCATGTTTACAATCCGTCACAATTCCTCAAAGGGCCTTCAGCATTAGCACAATCTGGTGCACCATACATCCCCTACGCACAGATCAGGACGGGAAATCCGGGATCAGCCGGACTGCAGGGAATGAAAGGTGTGACTGTAAGTGCTTTCTAACACAGTAACGAAAAATATCTGGAAAATGGATTAAAAAAACGATCTCGTTAACTATACCATTTTGATTTGCTTAGGGAATTCAAGGTACACCCGGGATGCACGGTTTACCGGGCGAGTCAGGTTTACCAGGTTACACTGGGAAACAAGGACAAGATGGAGTGAATGGGCTTCAAGGACCACCAGTTTGTTATTCTTAAAACGAAAAATGCACAAAAAAAGAAGGGTTTTTTCTCGTTTAGGGCGAAGATGGGATACCAGGACAAAGAGGAAAACCGGGTGCGGATGGTGCAAAAGTAGGTGATCACTCTTTACTACATATACAAGAATATCTGTGAACTCTTGTGCTTTATATATATGGTGTGAACCTCTGTTAGTTGTACAGTTTGTCAATTCTTTTCACTTGACAATGATAGCAGTAGCTGTCGAAATATCGTGGAAGAAAATAAACTTAGTCATAGGAATATGATCTTTACAGTGATATTATACTTTATTAAATTACTTAATCTAACCACTTCTACTCAATCATTACATTAATTATTAATTACTTATCTTATCTTTTAAACAATTTGGATCAAGGTCTTTCTTTTTCTCCGTTTAGGGATTAAAAGGATCAAATGGATTTCCCGGTTTGCCTGGTCCGAAGGGTAATTTGTCTATACCTTATCGTAACTGCTCAATGTTTTAAAGCATGCATTCTGCTCATTTCAGGTCATTTAGTAAGTTATCATTTCTTATTCATATTTCGAGAATATACTTATTAAATACATTGTGTGAGATTGTGTATATTTAACAACTATCCAAATGTTGAAATAGAAATCAAGCACTCTTTGTAATTCAGATTTATATTTTTTTAATCATTTGTTCAAAATTCTCTTTCTAGGGTTGGACTGGTCCAAAAGGTTCTAAAGGTGATATATATTTTTGAACAATTGAGAGCATTTTATACACAGAATTGTATCAGAGTAGGAACAAAAATTGATCAAAACTTATAAATTTTTGTTTTTAGGTGAGATTGGAGAACGCGGCGAGAAAGGGAGTATGGGACGGCAAGGACGTGAAGGAAATCCTGGACCTCAGGTGAGTTCTTACAAAACCGATTCTGTACAAATTGCAGTATAAGGCGTACGCTGCTTCCTCCTGACTAAATAATCTGAAGTGAAATGACAAATACATGTTGAAGATTATAAATGCGATTTTTTTTGCATCAGAGTCAACAAAGTCATTGTTTAGTTGATTAAAATATGGTAAAAAAATGTATTTTCTTTCTTTTAGGGCGCTCGTGGTCCGAGAGGAGAAACTGGCATCTATGGTGCCGAAGGTCCAGTGGGAATGCAAGGAATTGGTATGGTATTGTTTCGGCAAGAAAAAATAATAATTACTTTAGAAATTCTTCAAAACTATGACTTCAAACAAGTATTAAGTCGACTGAGTAAAACTCAGAAGACATTACTTTTCACTCCGAACGTTGCTTAGCGAATATGTCCTTTAAGCCGACCGAGTAAAACTCGGAGAGGCTTATTCTGTTTCACTATAAAAAATTCTGCTTTCTTTCTTCTTTCTTCTAGACCTACTTCAGCCACTCGTTCTCAGCTATCACTAAATATATACTATAGTGTTTGATATGAAAGCTACAGTAGAATGTATGATATGATAATGAATCAGTTGATTCAGCTGACATACCAGCTGATTCATTATCATAGCATATATTTAAGTCGACTGAGTGTAGCAAAATTCTTAGGTCGAGTGAGTGAAATTTAACTTCGAGCGTTGCCTAGCAATATTCTTCTTTCTCCCTTTCCACACAGTGTTTTCGTGTTCGAGTCAGACACTCGTTCTCGGTTACCCCTGATCGTATAGATTTCGGCAAAACATGATTCGAAAGTAGAGAAGTGGAAAATGACACATCTGAAGTTATTTTTCGAATATTTACTTTAGTTATCATATAATTAGTGTCACAAAATGAGTATATTTTTGAGACAACTGTATCGTTTCTGCTATGAGATAATTAATCGTCACATGACATCCTTCATAGTAAATAAATGCTACAGTGCTGGATATGATGAAAGCTATACTATAGTAGAATATATGACGCGATAATGAATCAACTGGTATAGAAAATTCTTAAAGATCGCTCTGATTTCATTTAAAAAAATCATTGTTTGTCATTAAAAAAAAGCATCTTATTGTAGAAAATGTCTTGCAGAATTTTTCGGTATACCTTGTTAAGTTGAATAAGTGCTTTTTAGTGAGGTTTTGTGCAAAAAATCGATTTTTTGAAGGGGAAATGAAAAAATTTGGAGCTTTTTCTTTTGGATTTACTGTGCAAAACATCAAAAATGAATATACAATCTTGCAAAGAATTAAATTGTTTACCGTCCGGTATATTAAGGAATTTTTTTTCTGAAACGACTTGTAAATCATCATTCTAGAAATCATTTCAGAACTTGTGGGACACCCTTTATAGGAGGAATTCTTCTTGAAAATAGTCAGACCGTTATGAGTTTGTAGATGTTGTAATTTCGTCTGCTTATCGTTTCACTCAGTCGACTTTCCAATCTTCCCGTAGGGCAGGTGGCTCTGACCATACACATTTGGGGAAAAGATCATCTGAAAGTTCAGCGGTCGTAGATGACGCATCTAAGTTAGTTTTAGGATATTTGCTTTAATTACCATACAACTAATCCCACAAAATGAGCAACTTTTTTTTAAAACCCCATCGTTTTCCTATGAGATTAATTAATTGTCACTACAGTGCTTGATATGATGAAAGTTATAGTAGAATATATGACGCGATAATGAATCAGTTGATATAGCAATGGCCATTCTTCTTTAAAAATAGTCAAACTGTTATGTGTTTGTGGTTCTTCTAATTTCGTCTGTTTACCGTTCCACGCAGTCAACTTTCCAATCTTTGCACAGGGTAGTTGGTCTCTAGTTCTTCCTTTCTTTCTACTGAATTTCAGTTTCAACAGGAATAAAAAAGTTTTTTTTTTTTGTTGAGAGCAGAATGTTGGCCGAAGCAGTACGGCTAATAAGAGCTTCAGATTTTGCCGCGACGAAACAACAAAAATTTCTGGCTTTGGAAAATACTCTTTTCAGAGCTAAGATGCCTACGATGTCTTCAAAAGCGTCGTTGTAGTAATGCAACTAGGTGGGAGCTGATCTTAGTTTTTTAGACTTGTATATTTTCTTAGAGTAGCAGTGATAATTTATAAAGACACTATCATTAAGGCTGAGCTTATTGTGGAAAATTGAGAATGCTTTATTACTGCAAGGAAAAAATAAGCTTTTGGCTATTCCAGTGATATTAGGAAATACTTGAAAGTTCAAAATGTTAACTAAGATATTTCATAACTTTTTTTCTTCTTATTTTAGATGGTCCACTTGGATTGCAGGTTTGAGCTACTGCATTCTATCATACTAATTATATATTGAAGTTAATTCGATTTAATACAGGGTAGTACGGGTGCTATCGGACCGGCTGGTTATCCAGGAACGATGGGTTTGCCGGGAAGAAAAGGTAAATATTAAATTGTTCACAATTTATTGGTTGTACTATCTGAAGAAGTCTGCTTACAACTAGAAATTGTTGTTGCACCTAGTTTATTTTACGTAAACTGCAATAATCAATATTTATAGGAGTTTAGTTTTTAAAAAAAGCAAGCTTTTCATCTAATGCACTTTTCCACTCTCAAAAGATCATGAAAATGACTAGGCTTTAAAGTTTTTGGAAGAAATTTTGGGGCAGCTTGCTCGCTCACTAAGCTTTCATTTATTTCTTTTGTTTAGGTGAAATCGGTCCAATGGGTATTAAAGGAATTCAAGTGCGTGATATAGTTAAATGTCTATAATTCGAAACTCCAGCGCTTTCTTTGTTCCTAGGGACCGAGAGGACCGATAGGTAGCGCTGGTATGATAGGCGCTCAAGGAGCTCAAGGATCGCAGGTGAGAAAGTTTACGAATGAATTGTTAATTTTCACTGCAATCAATATAGGTGTTTTTTAAGTATATATTTATATTGTGCAGCTATTGTACGTAACTTTACAGATTTTCACGTGAAATAATTCGGGTTTTGGAGATAAAACTATGTCAAAAGAATTGCTCGTTAACTTGCCTCAACATTTAAATCATTTTTGTCACTAACTTAATAGTATTTACCAAAATTTGGATTCATTTGTATTTTTATTTTTAGGGAATACCAGGACAAAAAGGATTGATGGGGCAAAAAGGCATTTCAGTTCGTATATTTTTCACGAAATATATATTCTTCGAATAATTCCAAACCTGTATTGTGTATTATTTCAGGGGAATCCAGGACCGAGGTGATTTGTCTGCTATATAGTTCTGCAGTAGATCCAATTTTGCCTCGTTTAGTGGTCTGCCTGGATCACAAGGTGCCAAAGGTCAAAAAGGAATACCGGGAGAACAAGGCCAGGAAGGACAAAAGGGGTTGAGAGTAAGTACCATCAAACACCACTGTTGTACTCAGTGACTATGTGTTTTGCACTTCAGTATTATCGAAGTTCAGCCCATAGTTGTCAACAGATCAGTCAGACGTTGAGAGAGTAACATTTGCCCTTAGCATTTTTCAATCCTACTTATATATAATTCAATCGAAATTTAATTTTTACATCTTGATAATGATCTATATCGAGAAATAATAAAAGTCAATAGTATTGATGGTTTATATCGTATAAACTTTTTGTTTAGGGAGTCATTGGAGATCAAGGATTTAAAGGTATAGAAAAATCTTATAATGCAATCAATGGGTAACACTATATTATTTGTTTAATATTCTAGGAGAGCAAGGTCCGAGAGGATTTAATGGACAGCGGGGTGAGCCGGGACAAAATGGCCCTCCAGGCGAGACCGGAGTTCGAGTAAGTCTTATATATAGAACAAACGAAGTCGCATTATGGTTATGTAAACGTTCGGTTTCTAAAAGCATGCCCAAAGTACTAGTTCAACAGTTTCTTTCCCTTTCTTCTATTGTAGGGGAAACGAGGAGACACAGGTAGTCCAGGGAAAGCTGGAAAGCCTGGCGAAGAAGGACAGATTGGAGACAGAGGAGTTTCTGGGATTCATGGTTCACCAGGTCCAAAGGGATTCGTTGGCGATGAAGGAATAGACGGTAAGTCAACGTTTTCGGTCGCCTGTTTTTGATGATTTTATGACGAAACAGCTTTTACAGATTCATGCGGTAATGTAAACCTGCTTGATTATGACAACAACATCATTTACTTCTTTTATCTTAGGTATGAGAGGAGAGAGTGGCTTACCTGGCGAGATTGGAACAGTAGGACCAGCCGGACCGGATGGGTATCACATATATTGGATTACAATTTGATCTAGAATTTCAATTCTTTCCGTTGTTCTTTCTAGACCTGCCGGTGATCCAGGGCATCAAGGTATTATTGAAATACATCGTTATAAATAATGAAACACATTTATCGTGCCTTTATGCAAGAAATTTTAACCAGGAGCGCAGTGGCATAAATCCATTGAATCCACTAGCAGATATTCCCTCTTGGAAGACACATAGAAAAAATATTTTATTTTTCTCTGTTTCTTTCGTTTTTTAGGGGCTGATGGTGAACCTGGTCCGAAGGGACCAATTGGATTTCGGTTTGTACTTCTTCTGAGTTTAAGATAAGTTTGGTAGACTGTTTGTGTTGTTGAAGGGGTAATAATGGACGGCGTGGAGACACTGGTCCGTCCGGAGATATTGGTCCTACCGGAAATCGTGGAGATACGGGGCCAAAAGGTAAACAGACATGGTTTTCATCTCTCTATATGAATACTAGTGTTTTTTCAACTTTTTCAGGCAATCAAGGCGCGGAGGGCTCTGGTCAGTTGCTGCCGATTAATAGTTTGATTTGAGTTATTGAAGTTTTCAATCGTCAATTAATAACCTACACAATAATAAAGTTTAATGTTTGATAATTCTAGAGGGTAAAGTAGGAAAAAAGGGGAACAAAGGTTTGCAGGGTGACGAAGGCAAAATTGGCACCCAAGGCGTACAAGGATCTCCGGTAAGAGTTTATTCTCAATGAAAACATAAAAAACCGCTCGTCTCACATTTTAACATTCATTTTTTGCAGGGGCCGACAGGAAAAGCAGGTTTACGAGGCAACATCGGAGTAAATGGACCGATCGGCCCTCCGGTAAGTAGAAAAATTAATTAACAAATGGTATTAAATACAGAGCGTAATGCTGTCCCAAGCTTTTGCCATTATATTGTCCTCTTTATCTGATCTTCACTTATCAAGATTTTGGCAGTATAACGCAATGCCTCATCAATTAAACAAAACTAATGTAGATCTTGCAGCAGTGATACCTTATGCTATTAGAGAATTCCATATTGGAGAAGTTGAGTAAAAACTTTGTAGACATTGGAAAACTTGTACTTCAGAAGTGTGCTAATCGGTGTAGAACTCTAAAGTTAACTTCAACTTTTTTTAATCAACCATGAATCAGATTAATAGAACAACTTTCATCCGCAACATGCATTGACAAAACGTGTTACAAGTGATTGAAATATCTTCGAGCAGCGCACTTTTACAACTATACCTCCTCTGCGTGCATTAGTCAGACGTCGTGAAGATTTTTCTCCTTTTTCCCTTAAATAATACTAAGGATGAAACAAAGCTGCAGTAAATCGTAGAGTAAGAAATGCATACATTGAGCAAGATATTTAATCACAAACTCTATTATTGTATATTTCTTGAAAAATCATCTGGTAACATTTTTTTCGTTTGATATTTGTTTGATTGGATGTTTAGGGACCGCCAGGAGAGCGCGGACCGACTGGAGAACCTGGGCGTCACGGAGAATCAGGTTTACGTAAGTAATAAGTCGTAATGTCCATAGAATACTTCTAATTCTTTATGTTGTAGAAGGAGTACAGGGTACTATCGGAAAGGTTAGTAACACTTTTGTAAAAACATTTTCTTGACTTCAAAAGTGTACTCATATAGCTATATTCTTTGTTTAAAATTACTAGATTGGGAATCCTGGCTCACAGGGTCAACCGGGACCTCGGGGTCAAAACGGAGTTCGTGGACAAGCCGGGAATGCAGGAGCCGTAGGACAAATGGGCAATGATGGTCTACCAGGAATGAAAGGTTTAAGAGGGGACAAAGGGGCTATTGGTGGAATTGGAAATATTGGCATGCCCGGACCTGTGTAAGCATATAAGGAGTTTTTAATGAGCCACAGTTACAACGTATGCAAATTATGTTTTAGTGGTAATACAGGAGCACCAGGACCAGGTGGTGAAGTGGTAAGATTATAATAATAAATAATTTATTTAAAACAAATTTTAAACAAACTAATTCTTCCTCCAATGTCTCATCTGTGTCTACAACTTATTGTTCAAATGCCACCCATTCTTGTCCGTATTATTCTAGGGTGCAAAAGGACGCACCGGTTTCCGTGGACCCCTCGGTTCTGCGGGGCGCACCGGTGAACGTGGATATGCAGGTGGCGAGGGTGTTCGTGGTGAGGTCGGAGCTAGAGGTAGGTTTGCTACAGGGTACAATTTTTGTTGTTCCCTGATTTACGCACTAATCAACGGTCTTGATGATATAGAAGGAAAATAATATACAAATCGCAGAATTACTGAGAAGAACTTAGCACGGCCGTCTGTTAGAAATTGTTTATTTTTAAAAACTCTCATAAATTGCTTCCTGAATTTGGTAAAAGTTGCTTTTATTTAGACAAAATCGCGTATTTGAGAACAATATTGTTCAATGCTCTCTGTTGCTAAATTTCTTCGTAGGTGAAAAGGGAGATATTGGACTGCCCGGTGAAAACGGTGATATAGGATTCGAAGGTCCTCCGGGTGAAACTGGTGAGCAAGGTACCCCGGGCTTAGTTGGATTTATGGTAAGTGTAATTGTCAAACCCATTGACCATTATAGCTAGAGATTTGAGAGACATCTCAAACTTATAATATTAGGGTCTACAAGGACAATCTGGCAAGCAAGGTGATCAAGGTTCGGTTGGAGCACCAGGAAATGAGGTAAATGTGTAAAAAAAAAGTAAGAATGTTCATTAAGAATATAAAACAGCGTTTCGACGATAGAGTGCAAAATTCATTCTCGCTTTTGGCTCTCTTACTTTTTCACATATATATATATTTAAGTAAAATGAGAATGAACATTTTTATCCGTTTTTCATATCAATAAATTAAGTGACAAAGTAGACCGACATTAAATTTTACATATTAAATACTCTGCTAACTTTTTACGTAGTTTTACTTGGCAAGCTTAATGATATGAAAAAAATACCATGAACGAATTTATTACTTCATAAAATTACAAATATTATTTAAATTTTATTTTTCTGAATGTTTCTCTGCGATCTGCGATGATTGCATTTTAGGGTTTGACGGGTGGTCAAGGAGAATCTGGCACCAATGGACAAATGGGTCCAATAGGAATCGAAGGAAATAAAGGGGACCGAGGTGATCGAGGAGCAATCGGCCAAAACGGAGAAAGAGGAGCACCGGTAATGGCAAACCCATGATTTCAACTCTGTTCGAGAAAAACGTTACTATTTTATTTTCCTTTTCTAGGGAAAAATCGGTTCAGAAGGTAAACTTTGTTCTGTTAAATGCTGATTTCCTAGTTTTGGCTGCTGATTCCCTATATTTCGCATTTTTCAGGTTCTAGTGGACAAACTGGAATCCCGGGAAGAACGTAAGGCTTTTTTTGCTCGATAACCAAAAGAAACAATTTTAATACTTTCTAGTGGTCCTCCTGGTCAACCTGGTCAAAAGGTATAGTATTCATTTTAAAATACAAGCGATGACCGTGATCAATAAACTTTTTCTTTCTCATGGTAAGGGGATGGCGGGTGATGTTGGAATAGATGGACGTCCTGGAGACGAAGGTCCAGTGGGTAAGTGAACTCAGTTTCTCATTCTTCTCAAAATGTAATGAAAAAGTATGTTTTGCGCAGGTCTCATTGGACAAACTGGTTTGAAAGGGAAAAATGGAGAGACAGGACCTCCAGTACGTAACGCTGCTGAAAATTTTTGCTTTTTCTTTGTTTAAAGTCTTTTTCAGGGATCACCTGGTCCTATCGGCTCGCCTGGTAACGATGGATCTCAGGGTATGTTACTTCTTCTCAATAACATTATGTCTCCTACAATTTTAAGCATCCATTTCATTTTACCATTTTTTTGTAAGAGGAATCTAACGATTTAATACTACTTTGTACCTAAATTTGTAGAAACTATGTTTATTTAGTACGAAAAATCAATTTCGGCTCCGTCTTAAAATTTCCTTTTCGAGATTTTAGGTTTACCGGGAGATCGCGGAGAACCAGGAGAAACGGGATTGCCCGGGACTGCTGGGTCGCCCGGTCAGGTTGGTGATTTCGGCTTTGCAGGAAAGGATGGAAAGCATGGAGAAGATGGTGATCTTGGACCTGAGGGACAGGCAGGTAAAGTAACTTGTTTATGTATAAAGATGTATAGTATCGAAATGAATTCAATTTACACTAAAAATGTTGAATATTCCAGATTATCTGTGTTTTTCAAATATTTAAGATATTTTTGTCTTCACTTAGAAAGATTATATTACTGAAAACGTTTTTACTGGAAATATTATAGTAGTTTTGCGTAAATTGAATTTGTACATCTGAATAACTAAAATTTAGAAAGAAAGCTGAAGTATCACAGAAATCTATTAAGATGCATTTTTTTTTATATAAACTTTTTATTGAAAAAGAAAAAAGAAAAGATTGCGCAAGCGGCTTTCGCCATATGTGCGCCTTAAAATGTATAAAAAAGCACGTATAATGAGCTTAAAAGGAGAAAGAAAGAAAAAGGTAAAGAGAAAGCTCACACACGAGATGGTCATTCGGATTTTTGGATATTCACTTCTACTGTTCTGCTTGTATTGACAGCGAGAGGAAACGGAAACTTCTCAGAATCGCACTGTCCGTAGTATATATATCGGCATATCTCGTTTAGAATAACTTGACTCTCGCCCAAACATCTCCCACGAACTCCCAATAAACTAGCCACAGACACAGAAGGCAGGTAGTTTAAACCAGATAGCAGATCGGTTCTTTCTAAAACATACGTTGAACAATCTAATAAATAGTGTTTTACTGTTTCGTTAGCTCCTCGACATGCACAAAGAGGGGATGAAACACATCTTTTGGAGTGTAAATTGGCATTTAGTTGGGGATTTCCAC